ATATAATCTTCTTATTTACTGCATATATTACAGATTATGCACGTATTTTGTCATGTAAATGACTGTGTTCCATGTAAAAGTGTCTCACCTGCCGTGTCCTTCACCCCAGCACAGAATCATGAGATTAAACTTCCCATTTCCCTCATCCACCAAGTTCCTTGTGTACCTGAAGAAAGTAAAGAAGAGTACAACCGGTTAAACGAGCAGGAATATGTACTGTGTGGAACATTATGAGTTTTAGATGAAGACTCAGGGTCTTAGGGAAATGCAGAGGACAACATGTGTCAGGGGAAGTTTTTGTAAAGTTGATATAAATACATTCTCGATCAATTTTATACTTAAATCTTGACGTGTGCACATGTATTATCAGGTTTATTTATTTTCTAATGTATTGCCACATTGCTACAGCTTGATTTTCATTTTATGGGAAATTCCATCATGTCAGCTTGTCCTACAATAAGGAAATGTGTGTTTTTCTGTATTTGACAGAAGCCAAAGAAAACACAATCTGTCTCTTGCACTAAAAATCCAGCTGGACCTCACAGGGGACAGACAACAAGGGGGGTGCACTGGCTCCCCACTACTCTTTGTCTTTTTTATGTCCATCCACAAACAAACTGCAGCAGTCTGATATTATGTGTCCCTGCTTAGTTTGAATTGAGAAAAACTGAGGAGACTCTGCACGTTTTCATGCACACACAAACACACAAACACACAAACACACAAACACACAAACACATCCATCTCCCAGCAATAATCAGCGGGTGTGTGTCTGTCCTCGGTGTTTGATTGGACGGTGCCCTGCCCCCTCCCTCTTTCCACCGACCCTCACCCATCAAAACACTGCGACATGGAGCTTTTCACAAAATCATTGAATACAGCTGCACTTTATTTTATATAGTGAGGATATAACTATATCCCCAATAACAGGGATAAAGCACAACTGCACATTTACACTAATAACATAATAAACAGGCTGCATTAAAAATAAAAATCCTACAAAAGCATAAAAAACAAGTATATTGATATAACATAACCATGTTATTGTATCTTATTCATTTTATTGTTTTTATGCATTTCGTTAATTTAATGGTCTAATTATTATTATGATGATGATTATTATCATTATTATCATTATTTTCATTTTGTATGTTTGGTTTATCTTGTGTCCAATGTTTATCTCTACACTTCCCACACAGTTTTGTGGTTACAACTTCCATATAGCTCAAGCTTTGTGCTTCTACATGAAATAAAATGTACCATATAAAATAAAAAGAAAGAAAGAAAGCAGCTATTCTTATACATGAAATTAGTAGTTTGCAAACTTTCATAAATAACCCATCCTTAATGTGTTATTACCACAATTGCTTTTCAAGTCAAACATGCGTCTGTATAAAGCAGCCATCACATGTCTTTGTTTTTGAATTTTTGCAATAAAATGTAATACAGAGCCATTATAAAGAAAAGGTTATAAAAAGAATATGACTGGTTAGAAGCAGCTCACTGGGACGTTGTGAGTGCAAAGTGCATCAGCAGAATAAATGAGTAATATCTCAGGACCAGGGTATTTGCTGGGTGTATTATTTTTTTACCTGTACTGGTCAAACTTCGCGTACTTCATCCACTCCTGAGGTTTGCTCTCATAAGATTCCATCACACCCTGGACCTCCTCCACATTGATGCAGTCACTGTCGAAGATGTCGTGCAGGGTTTTGATCAGCTCGTCCAGAGTCTCTGGCTTCAGCAGCTCGGTTTGGTCCATGGCTCTCTGACCTTATTACTCCCTCGGGTTTAATTTGCCTCCGTTAAAACAAACAAGTTTCTCTCACCAACTTTGCAGAGACGATGACTTTTTATAGGCTGGCGCCGTATTTTGGGACGAGCTGGCGATGGACTGTACCACTGTGCAGAAAAGGTGAACACCAGCTGCACACAGTCGATTTAGATTTACTTTATGAAATCAATATTTGGTGGAATGATATTTAATAAAAAAATAATGGCTGCTTTTTCACTCCTCCTTCTATAGAGGTGATGTGATTATATATGTTTTCTTCTGCATGTTTTATTATGAACTCTGCACTCATCTCAAACATTAAGGACTTGGACTGATCCTCTCTGAGTCCAATTCCACCACGTTGTCACAAACGCAGCCTCCCTTGTTCTCTCTCTCTCTCTCTCTCTCTCTCTCTCTCTCTCCCCCCCTCCCTCTCTCTCTCTCTGAGGCATTCCTCCAACAATAGCAGCCTCTCTCTCTTTGTGGGCCCTCTCCTCAGAAACACAGTCATCAACACAGTTCAAGGTGCTGGACGAAAACAAAAACAACGTGAGAAAAACAGGGATGAAAAAGATTGAACGGTATCAAGAATGTTTTTTTCAAACGTCTTATTTTCTTGGGTTTATTTTCAGACCTTCAACCACCACTGTTTCGGTGACATGAAGTCATGGCAGGGTGGATGTACTAATCATATGCTACATGAGAACCCAGAATACTGTATAAAACCATATGTTCCAAAAAGGGGAAAGTATAATCCTTAAAAATGAAAAATGAAAAGACAGAATCAAGGGAGAATTCTTCAATTAACCATTCTATAATGGTTTACTTAAATAGTAATAATCTAATGATGGATCATACAGTAAATGTGCAGGTCTTGTGGATATGGTGGTGGAAAATAAGTAATTCAACCCATTGTTATTAAATGAATTACTCTGATATACATAAATACATTGAACTATATTTTATAATAAAGGACCGATCTTCTCAGGACCAGTAGAGCTCGAGCTCCAGGTTAAGGTCAGTGGTGTGAAGTGTGGTTCCAGTCAGGTTGGTTTAAGCTGTTCACAATGAATGGAAGGGAATCCGAAGTCCTTACAAGGAGAGCTGCACAAAGAGTGTGTGTCGGTGCACATGCCCAGATATAAGTCCAGAGGAAAGAATGGTTCCTTTTATTCATCCTGCATCCTAAGCTGAGTCATCACTGAGGATTTGTTTAGCTCACTTTCATCTGTAATGTGGTTTCACACATTCTCCAATACGCTGGTAAAGCACGGTGTTCAAAACAACAAAGTTCAGCACAAACAACAGGAGGTACATTGGGATAATATGTTGCAGCTCAGACACAAACTCAAACACATGGAGATTTTCACATCACATCCCCCATCCTCCTGCTGGGAACGTCCTCACAGCTGTTTGTCAGCCCGTCCAGTTGTCACAACTGAACAAAATCATAAATCCTTTTCATCAGCTCAACACATTCACAGATATTTATACAGATCAATCACAGACAGTCCTCCACTCAATGAGGAGGACTCACTGTGGAGAAAAACAACAATGTCAGCCAGCAGATTGAGGGTGTTATAGGTTACATATGGTTTGTCTTTGCATGCTGTTGAGCAAGTTGCTCTGAAATATGAGCTCTGACGTGCGGATGTGAGCACAATATTGTGCTTGAGGACAGGGGAATCAACAGGAGACTGCTCGGGGAGGAATAGCTCACTTTTCACACTTGTCAGAAATGGATCAGGTTCAGTTGTGTCAGTGTCACTAGTCAGCAGAGACGGAGATCCACATCATGTGTCGCTGTGACAAAACAAATCCTCTCTGACTCAGGAAGATTTTCAGGCTTTCAGGTTTCCTGAGTGGAGAATGTTCTTTGCATCAGGTGCAGTGCCAAGTTTCCTGTGAGCTGCCACATCATCAACACCACATGTACTGTTGCTCCATCTTGTGGCTGAAACTTTAAATCTAAGAAAACAAATCAAGCCAGTACATGAGACAGAGAAACCGATAATTTACATGTACAGTCAACCAATAATTAAAGATACTGGGGCTGAGGAATAGGAAAATTGTATTCATCTACCAGATGCTTATTATTTAACTTTACCACACTATGGAATAGAATCATGCAAGATCAGTTGAGTGTGCACATGCAATCTACCAACACTTTTTAAATGTCGGGGGAAGTGGTCTTGATATTATTTATATGTATATATGTGTTTTTCAAAGGATGTTTTTGATTATTGTGGAAAAAGTCACTGCGTTGTCTGTTAACTGCAATTCATACACAAATTTCATGAAGAATATCAGTGTACTCCTGTATGTGTGAGTGTCACCGAAATGTACAATAAAAATATGCATGAATACATTTCTTTACAAATGAATATATTAATCTATAGATAGATTGATAAATATGCCTTACTACAAAGTATTCTTCACTTGATATTTCAATCCTTCATAGAAAGAGGAATAACAAATATGTATAAATGAAATAAGAATCCATTCATCAATATTAATCCTCCATACTCTACTGCTGTATACTTGTTTATCTGGAACAAAATTAATTGTTAGATAAGAAAATAAATGATCATCTTGTAGCGGGGAAATGTGCCATGTTAACAGCAGCATCCTCTTTTCTCAGTCCTCAACAAGAGTAGAGAGTAAAAAAAACTATTGATGGGGAAAAACCATCGGAGAGACAACAACTCACAAAATAACAGTATTTTGATCAGAAGACACAGTTTGTGACATAGTGTGTCGATGTTTAAATTATTTATACATAAGAAAATGTCTGATAGAGATGAAGCAGCAATGTCAAATGAACTGAGGAGTTAATGTCAGTGATGGTAGAATATGTGAGTAGACGTATTGTATATCAAGCAGTCTTGTTGTAAT